AACAATATTTTGTTTTCAATTTGTTACTATATTATGAGGTTATTCTAAGCACCTAATATTCAATTGGGATCTCAAGATAATGTGTTTTTAGTTGTTGTTATTTTATTCCTATTAATTGTTTAAATGTTGTACCTTTTAGTTAAAAGATTAAAAACTGTCTCTGTTTCTTTACAGAGTCTGCAGCATGCAAATAGAATATTTACATGCTATGGTTTAATGCAAATCTCCAGGTCTTTTGTGACTCAATGAAAAAAATCTATGTAGTTTGGGACTGTTCATTCCCTGTTTGTGTTAAATAATGGAAGCTCCATCATGTATCACTTTTTTTCTTCATACTATTCTTTCTTTAATTTCCACAAGATTCCATATTCCAGTGGGTTTGTTCCTTACATCTTGAGTTGTTCTGGCGATGGTAATGTTTGTGTCAAGACTAGTTATAAACAAAAGAATTAGACCATCAATCAAGCCAACTGAGGACAACAGAACAACTTAAAAGGATACCCCAGCTACATTTTGGTTAACCGGACAACATAAGTCAGGCCTCATATTCAAGCTGTATTTTTCTTCACATTCTACTTAAAAATAAATAAATTGAAATGAGTTGCTTTCTGCAGCACATATCCACTGCTTAGCTATGCCTCTTCTTTTTACAAAGTACCTTCATGATTCTTGATTCAGCTAGTGATTTTGCATGTAACTTTATTGGCATGATCTTAAGAATGCAATCGGCCGGTCACTTCCTTCCAGCTTACTTCGCCTGGGAGGGAGGAGAGGCAGCATGGAGGCCGTGAAGAGGGAGAGTCAGCCGACTCTCATCAGCCCCAGCCACCCTCCTGCACCGAAAGGTAAGAAACAGGAGGGTGGCTGAAAAATTAGCTCCATGTGTATTTGTGTGGGTGTGTGTGTGTCTGTATGTATGTCAGTATACATTTTTGTCAGTATGCATACATAACCCTAACCCTAACCATCACAACCACTTACACATCTAGGGTTAGGGGTAGAGTAAGGGGTAGGATTAGGGGTAGGGTTAGATTTCTGTTATCATTCACGTAATTTTCCCTCCCTCTCTTGTTTTGCCACTTTTCAGAAATTCGAAGCACTTCGGCACTTCCGAAATTCGGCACATTGGAAATTCGGCACTTCCAAAATGTGGTACTTTGTCAATTCACCAATTTAGCACTTCGGTTCAGCACTTCCAACATTTGGCACTTCAGCACTTTGGAAATTCGTCAATTCGGACTTTCGGAAGCATCCGAATGTCCGAATTGCCGAAATTCATCAGAATTTACAATCAGAAAGAAACGAGTTGCACATGTCTAGTGAGGGGTGCTATGTACATGTGAGGGGTGCTGTGTGTGTGTGTGTGAGGGGTGCTGTGTGTGTGTGGGAAGAGTGCAGTGTGTGTAAGAGGTGTGCAGTGTGTGTTTAAGAGGGGTGCAGTGTGTGTGAGAGAGGAGCTGTGTGTGTGAGGGGTTCAGTGTGTGTGAGAAGGGTGCAGTGTATGTGAGAGGGCTGCAGTGTATGTGTTAGAGGGGTGCAGTGTGTGTTAAAGGGGTGCAGTGTGTGAGAGGGGTACAGTGTGTGTGAGAGGGGTGCAGTATATGTGAGTGGAGTGCAGTGTGTGAGAGTGGTGCAGTGTATGCGAGGGGTGCTGTGTGTGAGGGGTTTTGTGTGTGAATATATTTGAGTAAAATAAATAATGCAAATATTAAATATATATTATTTTTCCAATAAAAAAAAGTGTTGTATCCCTCCACCCTCCTCACCTTTGTCCAGGGAGGGGATATGTTGGACACCCAGATCAGGGCTATCAGGGGATGTAACTTTTGTGGGGGTTTTGTATGTTGTAAAGGTATTTTGGGGTTTTATAATAATGTGTGTTTTTCTGCCTGGAGATAATTGAGTTAGTACAGTCCATGACTCAATTACCTCCCAGGTACATATGTATGGGAGTGTCCTGGATCTGAGAGCCAATGTGGTTGTGTAAGTGTTTATACTGTGGTTTACTCTCAGGTCCAGGGGGGAGTGCCCCTTGCATGGGGATGTGCATATAAGGCCAGTTGTGGCTCCCATTAAGCGAGTTCCTGCTTACCCTCAACATAGAGTCTCATCTCATGTGTGGGGGAAACGGCTGTATCTACCCTGGGGATTGCTATATCACTATACTCGTCTGGGTTATAATCACTTGCTCTTGTAAGAGCAGCCTGCTACCCTCTCTGGAGTAGGAGAGGTCTGCCCACTGGAAGCTGGATCCTGGTCTTGGGTCCAGGGTGGGTGGAGGATGGCGAGACCCCAGCCAAGCTGTAATGCTGGAAGTGGGGACTACGGTGCTGATGGTGTCTGGTGGAGTGCTTGGAGTACTCGTTAAGCACTAGGAGCAGTGATTGGCGGAGGCACCTGGTCTGGGTGCCAGGCGGTCCGCCACACATGTGAACCCCACAGACTTGAAATCATAGTAGAGCTCTTTATTCCAATGGCAAGTCTTGAGAGAAGTGAGACAACCATCAGAGTACTCCAGTTGTCTACAAGCCAACCAGTCACTACTGATATTTCATGGGAAAGCCTTTATAAAGGCTATTCCATCCTTGAAATTTCATTATTTTCAAAGCCCTTGAGGGGCTCTCATGGATCTATTTATTTTTTTTGCGTTTTTAATTGGGTGGGGGCTGGGTCACCCCAGTTTAATAAGTAGCCTACACCTGCTGACCAGGTGGAGACAGTAGGACGGACTCTTTCTATCCCTGATTATTATAATTTAAGGCCTCACATACTGCCCAAGGGAGCATTTTGCCAGACCTTTCAGCGGCAAATAATGTGGATTTTTAAAATCCCCTTGTGATATATTGGAAGGGTAAAATAAGTATATAACGTGTTTGGACAGCTGATTAGGGAATAAGTTGCAACCAACTTTCAATGGAAGTTAGATCCCAAACTAAAAGGTTTGTTAATAAATAAACCCTTTGAATGAAGCAAAACAATAGCACAGCCTTCTCTGTATATTCCGTAGAAGGAGAAGTGCTACTGAGTGATGACTTGATATATTTGGCTCCATTAAACAAAGTTGCCATCCAGTTCTTGGCTTTAAGTTTCGTCTCCTGAAAGCCTACGTTTAAATCCTGCTTATGAAAAACGATGGAAAAACTGAATTGTATCGCATGCAATTTTAAATTAAATTACATATGTTATTATAATATCCCAGGTCAGTGAAAACCATTTGAAATAAATTAAAATAGTTTATAATTAAGGACATTACATAACATGAAATGATTGAGACACAACAATGCAGTGCTCATTTGTGATCATGGTAACTAATTCCTCACTATTTACCAAGCTATATTGCCCTTAGACTTGTGAGTGACTTCACTGAGCTCAAATGTGCTTAAAATTAAACAGTTGGAGGATAATAGGTAGGCAAATAGGAAAGCTTGTGTCAGTAAATGGTCACTCCCTGGTCCATTAAGTGGGCTCAGTTTTATACTGTTTGTAGGGCACTTTCTATTCCTGTTGCCAGGATAACAGGACGTTATCTATAGCATTAATTGTGGCCTTGATGCAGGGCCGGATTAAGAGCACAGTGGGCCTGGTGCTGACAATTATGATGGGCCTAATTACGGAATCTTATCGACCAAAAACACTAAAACAATCATACCTCCCAAGCGTCATGTATCTGATGGAGATGGTGCTGGAGGGAAACTCATAGGATGCAGCTATAAGAAAACACATACTCTATGCTAATTTCTCTCTAATTTATGCTTTCATCCTTCAAGTAAATCCATAACCCCTAACAGCGGTGTACAGTGAAGCAGGAAGTCAGTGGGCTGGGTAAAAGGGTGTGACACTGGCGCGAATCACGTGACAAGACCTGCCAAAAGGGGTGAACATGCCCAAAAAGGGGGCATATTTGTCCAAAGAATTGGAAGGTCAACCTGGCATGAATGCATCTTGAGCTTGACATAAATGCGTCTAATGATGCGCTCACTCCATTCTTTCTAAGGACTGTCCCCTAGCACTCGCTGGTCCACTTGTCTCCTTACCTTCTTACTAGCAGGCAGAAGTTGCTGGTATATAGTCTGAGACAGAGAAAAGGTGTCTGCAGTGAGTGTAGAAGAAAGGGGACATGCCACAGTGTTAGAGAGACCAACGTCTGCATTACCTAAACTAACTTTAATGTCAACCAGTGCACACAAGTTTTGTTCCCATACATCCCTCTTAAGCTTCCAAACTTAAGGGGACACTATAGTCACCAGAACAACTACAGCTTATTGTATTTGTTCTGGTAAGTAGAATCATTCCATTCAGGCTTTTTGCAGTAAACATTGTCTTTTCAGAGAAAATAACTCCACTGGCCGCTCCTTAGATGGCTGCTAGAGGTGCTTCCTGGGGCAGTACTGCCTAGTGTGCAGCACTGCCATTTAGTGTCTCCACCCTCTGCATGCAGACACTGAACTTTCCTCATAGAGATGCATTGATTCAATTTATCTTTATGAGGAGATGCTGAGGGGCTGGTTCTGCCCCTGATCTGCCTAGTTGACAGTCTCAGACAATCCTATGGGGAAGTATTGTAATTTGCTCAGACCACCACTTCTGAGCCAGCAGCTGCAGAATTGAATACAAGTAATATTTTACTATATTTAGGGAGGCAAGAAGGAGCCAGGGTGGTGGTTTTAACATAATAGGGTAAGAAACACATGATTGTGTTCCTGACACTATAGTGCTCCTTTAAGCAAGAGTATGTGAAGAGTAGTTAAGGTTGCCACCTTTCTTGGAAAAAAATACCAGCCTTAATCATTTGTATAATTAATTAGTTATGCGTGACATCACATGATGTAAATCACAAGGAGTGACATCAGAGAAAATTCTGTAAAATCACCAACAACCTACTCACAGTTTGATTCTGCTGTATAGATGGATTGCTCCCAGTGTCTCAGTCTTGCAAGTCACCCAGTGTCTCAGTGTCCCTATGTAACACAGTGTCAGTGTCCCCATGTCGCCCAGTCCCCATTTCTCCCAGTGTCCCAATGTCTCAGTGTGTCCCCATGTCACTAAGATACTGGAGACACTGAGAGACATGGGGACACTGAGAGACCCGGGGACACGGAGACATGGGGACACTGGGAGACATGGGGACACTGAGACATGTAAGGAAACTGGGAGAAATGGGGACACTGAGATACTAGGGACACAGACACTGGGAGACATGGGGACACTGAAACATTAGGGGACACTAAGACACTAGGGACACAGACATGGGAACACAGACACTGGGCGACTAGGGGACACTGGCTGGGAGACAGACCCTTGGGCACACTGGGAGACATGGGGACAGTTGTGGACATAGACTGGGACATATACGGACACTGGGAGGCATGGGGACACCAGGCACACTGAGACACTAGGAACACAGACACTGGGAGACATGGAGATACTGAAACATTTGGGGACACTAAAACACTAGGGACACAGAGACTGGGAGACTAGGGGACACTGGGAGACTAGCGGATACTGAGAGACTAGGAGATACTGGGAGACTAGGGGACACTGGCTAGGAGACAGACACTTGGGGAGACATGGGGACAGTTGTGGACATAGACATGGGGACACTGGGACACATGGGGACACTAGGCACACTGAGACACTGGGAGACTTGGGGACACTGAGACACTAGGGACACTGGCTGGGGGACATAGTGTCTCCGTGTCCCAATGTCTCCCAATGTCCCTATGTCACACAGTGTCCCCATGTGTCTCAGCATCCCCATGTGTCCCAGTGTCCCCTAGTGTCTCAGTGTCCCCATGTTTTCCAGTGTCCCCAAGTGTCTGTGTCCCCAGGTCTCCCAGTGTCTGTGTCCCCATGTGTCCTAGTGTCTCAGTGTCCCCTAGTGTCTGGGTCCCCTAGTGTCTGTGTCCCCATATGTCCCCAAGTATCTCAGTGTCCCCTAGTGTCTCAGTGTCCCCATATTTTCCAGTGTCTCAGTGTTCCCAGGTCTCCCAGTGTCTGTGTCCTAGTGTCTCAGTGTCCCCTAGTGTATGTGTCATCATGTGTCCCCTAGTGTCTGTGTCCCCTAGTGTCTCAGTGTCCCCATATGTCACCTAGTGTCTGTGTCCCCATGTGTCCCTGCTGCCTTTCCCCCATCCCTCACTTACCTGAGCTGTAGAGCTGCTGTCTGGACTCTCTGTGCTCTGTAGCTGCTCCCCCACGGATCAGTGAGTAGTAGAGAGAGGCAGGGATATTTTGTAACTTCCTATCCCTGCCTCTCTCCACACACAGTGACCCCTACTGGCCGGTGCTGGTATTGCAGAGTAATTTCCATTTATTCTGAGAAAATTACTGCAATACCGGCACGGCCAGGCAGCCTCAAATACCGTCTGTGCCATTAAAATTCCAGTCAGGTGGGAAACCTAAGAGTAGCGTGTTTTAAAAAAAAAAAAAAATTTTTTTTTTTTTTTTTTAATGGGCCTATTCCATGGGCCTGGGCCTGGAGCTGCAGCTCCATCAGCCCCTATGTTAATCCGGCCCTGCCTTGATGTCACAAATAAAGGAGCAGGATGATGATTATAATGTAAGACAGTATTAATTTGGCCGGGTAACAACAAGATGGTGGATGGGTGGAGTGAGTGGTTATAATAAAGTGCAGGCAAGCCTCTGTTTAAAGATCACTCCAAACCTTTATAAACATAGATATACAAAGTAAAGAAAAAATCAATACAAAATAACAGGGCACCACAAACACTAATATTTACCAGCTTCGTATGGAATATCTCAAAACAATAAAGAGAATACAGAAAAAAATATATATAGTTAGTAAAACCAATCCACAATTTATTGAAAACAAAGATAAGATAAAATTGAAACAAATATGTTAAAATTTGACACAAAATATATATGTACAATTAACAATAATAATCCTGATTAGGCTTGAAACCCTTATGGCTAACAGCTTTCTCACAGCACAAATATCATATTCTATAAAGTGCAAGTGCTAAAGTGCAGATAAAATAAAGTAAAGGATAGTATCTGGTGCTTCCAATAATTGCTTAAAAAACAGTTGGCATCCACTTTCCCTTCACAGCACGCAACACAAAAATTAGAAAGTGCATAAAACATTCAAAAAGTGCTTCAAAGACTGCTCACACCAAATCTCAGGGCTCAATGCTTTTCGTTGATCAGCTAAACAGGGCTCACTGCGTTTCGTCAATCAGCTCAACAGGGCTCAACGCGTTTCATCGATCATCCGACTTCCTCAGGAGCTTCTTAAACTGGCCTGGGTCTCTTTCCTTTATCACATAAAACTCAACTGTCTCAACTTGGGAGGGACAGTCCCTATTTTCTGCCCTAAACCCCCTGTACCTATTTTCTTTTCTAAGTCATTCTTTCCTAGGAGCTCCATATTGTTGGTGTGTCTGAGTGTGTAACAGAGCTCCACAGCAATAATACTCACATTAATGTGTCTTTAAACTGCAATAAATGTATTTTAAAATCAGTCTGTGTAAATAAGATACATTGTTCTTCTAAATTACATTTTAGTTGCATTAAGTGTTATTAGTAAGTCAAATAATATATGTATCAAATATCAATATAAATATAAATATAAATGTCAAATATATATCAAATATCTCAGAACAGCTCTGCCTGTGAACACACCCCTAAAAGGAAAGTGTCCCTCTTTGTCAATTCGAAATGTGAGGCTGAATGGTATGTTATCTCATTTATTGGCATTTTCACACTGCATTTGTTCTGAATCAATTGCCAATTTGAAATTTTGCTTCAGCCCACAAGTGCCGTGATTATATTACTGGGTATCTATACCAGGGCAAAACAGTGCCCAGTGGGTCTTAGCTGTACATGATACCCCTTGAAGTTCAGTTTAACAAACAAGGGAGAATAAAGTAAATATATCACACTACTTTCCCTGCTCATTTTTTTTTTTTTTAGCTTGCAAAGGGTTAACCCCATTCATTGCTAGTATAGAGAGAGAAGTCCATTCAGAGCATAGAACTCTGGCTATGAAATAGTAAATGGCAGATAGGCACAGAGAGGCTTCTTAATCATATTCATGGTGGAGAAGACTGCAGGTCTCTAAGGTACCAAGCTCTCACTGTGCCTCTCACTTTGCAGTCCCACAGGAGAAAGTGGTAGAGGCCCATTAAGTATTGATGGTGATGTTATACAAACCATATATTATACACTGAACTTGAAGTTTTCACTAAAGAAAAACATGCACTAAAATAACAACCAGGCTTTGCTTGACCCCTTTTTGTGCACTGGGTGAATTGGCTACACACTGAAAGTAATGTGTCCTCACTTTGGTAGGGCCTCATGTTTACTCAAGTGAATTCACAATCTCAACGCAGCTCTATGATTCTATGATTCTCTGCCTTTCAGTGCCACGGGGGATTTGTGAGGTATTGCCATAAAGCTCCATTGTAGCTCCCAACTTTACCACCTCAGGGGCCCACAAAAAAACCCACAATATTCACTCCATAGGTAGAGATCACCTTGCAATGACATGAATAACAGTGAATGTAATACATGGAAACAGATTCCACATGCACAGTCCTGCTGTATGCAAGCAAAAGACATCTGTAATGTTTGTATGAATTCTGAAATATACAACAAATGAATGCTATAATTGTAGTGGGATTTTTATTAAATGTAAAATTCGAGCAATGGCATCGTAGAATTATTGCTCCCTTGGTTTTGTTATTTTGAAGCTTTTTTCCAACATTTGGAATTAATCACTTATTTATTTTACTTAAAACACTCACTTACATCTTAAATCACTGAATACGATAATATTAAAAATGGGAAAAAAATATTTTTGAACAATTTACAGCTCCGATCCGCCTTATCGATAAATAACACCTGACTAGCAGCATTGTCATCAAGAGACATAAGATGGAAGAGCAGAGAGAGAGAAATGTACTGTGTCCTGTCCAGCAGTCATATGAAGTTACTATGAAGTTCCTGGTGGTCTGGTGGAGGAGGATTGTGGTCTGCACTTGATATCCGTGTACTTTAGGAGCTCCCTCGCACTTCCACAGTTCAGTCAATGACTAGATGAGGCGCTGTCATTCAGGAGTGCCAGAGGACTGTAAGTTCTTAAAGTGTTCTGCTCTCAATAAAGGTGCAGAAAACAAAGCTCCCTCAAGTAGGTGAAAGGGCACATAGCCAAGGAAGGGAATCTGTTGATCTCAACTCAAGATGCCAGCTCAAGGAGGGCCCTTTACAGCCAGAGATCCACCGGTATACCGGGTAATCCAATTCTGGGTGCAACCACCATTTTGCAGTATATTCGCTGCTGTGATTTATTTGGGGTAAGTGTTTACCAGGTTTGTCCATCTGGACCACTCTTTTCTGAAAAATTGTTTAAGTTTTGTAACATTGGATGGGGCTATTGGTGTTTTTTTCACAGACGTTCCACAAATCAGATTCAGGTTTGGAGTTTGACTGCTTCATTTGAAAACATTCAATTTATTTGTTTTAAACCACTTCAGTGCTGTCTTATCGGCAGGGGTGGATGTGGCAAAACTAGCCACTTCATTATACAAAAGACTGGGTCCATTTGTTTATTTCCATCTGTAAAAACTATGGGCATTCGTACGCCAGTTTCACAAACAGAATTGGGATATACTGTTCGTGAAAATGAATAAACTGCCAAATGGGAGACCACACAAGGGAGTTGTGTGTCTCCAATTAACAACTGGCAACATCGTGGAAACCGCAGAACTCTACTGGTTTAATGGGTGGTCGCCGTTCGTATAAAGGAACACGTGACGGCGGCCATCTTTGCTCACGAACACCCAGCTGTGTTTGGTCGTCAAGTGCATGCAACTAAAATTGGCTGCTTGACCTCGCGAACACCACTGGACTTCCATGCCGTTTGTATGAATGGATCCGTTCGCCTAAATACAGCAGCGTTCGGTTGATTAAACCCCACAAACTTCCCATACCCAACTAGCCAGTGCATTCATGTATATGTTCGACTGTTAATTCACAGGAACTCCCGAAAGAATACCGGTAAAACCTACAATTGCTTGGAACTATTTTGGGGCTCACGCCTCGTGGCCGGCCAATCCATAACTTCATTCGAATGGCTTTTCTATTCCAACGAGCGGTTCTGAGTGGTATTTCGCCAGATTGTGCGCTCAGATACCAGCTATTCAATGAAGGGGAGTTCAGATGTATATTTTTCAAGTTATGTATTTTTGATTTATATTGTATGATTTTCTGCACGGAGAGATAATGTAATTAAAGGTGTATCTCTCCAGTACAGAAAAGCATGATGGGAGATATCATTGTACACAACGTTTTTCACACAGTCCACCAGGGTCCACCGGCTGTGGTGCAATAAAAGTTCAGTTGACTCCCAAACTGTGTGTCGTTCAGTTCTTGGGAAAAAGGGATTGTACTTATTTAGCTACTTCTATTTTGCATGCTGACTACGACTAGCAGCGGATATATCGTGGATTATACCTCTACTCCGCTACAATTGGTGCCAAGCTACGGGATTTAAGCCTCTCAGCAAAGCAACGTTCGGGAGTTTATTCATACGAATGGAGAAACAGCGGTTCATTGAAACAGCCATTCGTATAAAAACGGGAGTTCGGGAATATGTTCGACTACACGAACGGACGGTGAATGGAGATGAATTATGCCACACTGAAACTAGCTACTTTGAAAAACAGCCAGGCCTGGACTTGGACCCACAGTGCCTGGATCAGTGTGCGTGTCTGCTTGGGTCTGTGTGTGTCTGCTTGGATCTTTGTGTGTGTGTCTGGATCAGTATTTTGTGTATTTCTGGTATGCTTGGGTCAGTGTGTGTGTGTGCCTGTTTGGATCTTTGTGTGTGTGTGTGTCAGTTTGCATGAGTCAGTGTATGTCTGCTTGAGTCAGTGTTGGTGTCTCATTTTGAGTGAACTTGTGTGTGCATTGGTCACGGATTGTCATTGTGTGGACCATTGAGTGTGAGTGTGTGTGTAGATGTATAGAGTATCAGTGATTGTATTTGGGGGAAAAGGACCATTTTAATTAAAAAAAGAAAAAAAATCAATACTTTTAAAGGAACACTATAGTGTTAGGAATATAAACCTCTATTCCAAATACTATAGTGTCTCTGTCCCTACATAGATTCAAGAGGGTTACTTACATTTATCAAGCACCGACTCCCTCTGCACTGCTTGCCCCCTTACTTCGCTGAATGTTGATGATGGAGCAACGCTGGTCCAATCTAATGTTCCTCATACAGGAGCATTAGGACCTTGATGCGCATAAGTGGCAATCGCTATCCACTTTCAACGCTTCATTTAGCTAATCATGGCATTGTAGCTGAGTTGTCTCTAGTGGCTGTCAGTGTGAGAGCTACTAGATGCTTGTTTAACACTTCAAGATAAGGCAATGTTTTATCTTTTGTTTTTTTTACTTACAGGAGTGGAGTAAATGGGGTGGCAAAATCTTTTTTGCCTAGGGTGGCAAAAATCCTTGCAATGACCCTGCCCCCATGCTCACAACACCCCATCTGCCCTCCTGCATCCACTACAGCCCCTATGCTCAGCTGCACCTACTACAACCCCTATTCCCCCACACAGTACAGCACCTAGCCCCCATGCAATTAATGCAGTCACTATCCTACTTACACACATACTGCAGCCTCTATATCCCACATACAGAGTAGAGCCTCTATTATATATACACACACACACCCCACAGCACCAGTAACCCCCCAGATGCCTACTACAGCATCTATCCAACCCAACTCTGGTTAATGTTGTTTGTGATGTCACTAGCAAACACAGTGGAAGCGTGTAATTAAATTTGCTTTTACTTCTTTATTTTAATTGGTGAGGAGGCGTGCCAGCAAGGGTTACTCCATCCAAAAACTACTTTTTTTTTAATTAAAACACTTTTTTTTGGTTGTATTAACCCCTTAATGTATTAACCTTTAATGTAAAGTAAATATGTCCCTGTTTGGGGGCCCTGCATGTACACAGCCATTCTGGATGTTGGGCATCAAACGCATAATATCTGTGTGAGAGCTGCACAAAGAAGGGGGAGAAGAGTAGTAATAACCAAAAAAACTTAAACCAAGAGGGTCCTTCCCTGATCCCTTGGGTCATGTAAGATGTCAGTCCACCCCTAAACATCCTGCATCCCCTGCAAGAGAGGGTGAATGTGACAAGGGTATTGAGTTCAAGGGACCTAGTAGTACGCTGTCAACCCCAAGCAAGGATGTTCTAGAGAGAAACAAGTAAGGATGCTCCTCAACATATGTTCTATTGGGGCTAAGACTTACTGTGAAGATGACACTAATTTATGCATTCCTAGGCAAATTCTACTGTATTTTTGATTCAATAAGGAAGACATCGGATATCCTTTAGCAAAACCTAGCAAAGAAGGACTGTCTTACAATATTCCCCTCCAGCACAATTGGGTAGCAATATTACCCAAATCATGAGGTTAATTTTGACCAGCCAAGTCAAGAAGCCTCCTAATGGGCTCATGCATCCCTGGACAGATCCCTCCCACAGATCACCATTCCTATGTATGCCAGAATAGAAAATCCCACCCAAATGCTATGGTAAAAATGTTTCTGTTGTTCTGTTCCTCAAGTGCAATGTGTGCAATGGTTGTGCGTGGACTGATCTGAATTTTTAAATCAAGTGTTACATTTTTAATATACATTTAAAAGTAAATAGAGAATTACATGGAAAAACAATCAATACAATTTATAGATACTTTTCAATGTTTTAATCATTGCTATCATTACCAAAGAAGTGATGGTTCCCCTTTAAGTTAGAGCGGGTATCATTAGACAGCCCATATGTTTTTGGCTAAAAGCTCTCTGGCATAATACGTTTTAGCTTGTCTTATTAGTGTACAAAGCACATTACCAGCATTGTGTTAAAACAAGTGACACTGTCAAAATGATCGTGTTGCGCACATTGAGATACAAACATTACATCGTACAAGAAAAATGTTAGCCATTAATCTTGGCAGGCAGGCCCAGCGCTGATGTGTTCATTGTGATGCAGGAACAGAGGGACCCATTGCTGTGTAAAATACCATAAAATCCATCTTGTTCTGCAAAAGGTAGGACCAGGGTGAGCTGCTATTTCCATAGAGTAAGTATTTCTTCACCGGAGTTTGCAAGCCATGTAAAATGAATGAGTTAGTGTTCAGCGGAGGCCTCCATCCTACCCAGAAATCCCATAGAAACAAGGGCAGATTTACGCTTTCGAGAAATTACTTTTTACAGCTTTTTTCCCCCTGGAGAATAGATATGATATACACTTCAGAATGATCTTGAGAATATTGACACAGTCATATAATTTTCATAATTCTGTAATTATATTTTTTCCCATTTACACCAGATAAAAACACCTGGAAATAAGTGTTTTTTTAAATAACATGAAGACATATAAAAAAAAAAAAAAAGAAAATATGTTTCTACTGAAAGTAACTCTTCCACCCCATAATAACTTCAGTTCATTGGCATTGTCATGGGGGCAGGAGTGTCTGGGCACTGTCCTACTTTCAGAAGTTCAATAATTTTCCAATGGCTTAACCATGAACTTGGTCACCCTCATTCTAGACACCACTGATCCTGACTTTCTCTCGATCGCTGCAATATGTGGAAAGTTTTGCTGTGAAGGCAGTGATAACCTGAGAACATCAGATGTTACTTGCGGCCAATCATTGTACCCATTCAGATAAATGGTACATACTACAAGTTGCTCCAAAGGGAACAGGTTGCAGAGGGGTTGACATCATGCACAATATATTGGATCTATTTTAATAAATTGAGTAGTGTTTCTTTTAGAATACTCGTGTTTACATTATTAGATCATGTGACCCATCTCACCCAGTCATCACACCATGCAGATCTGGGTTATTCAAAGTAAATTTGAAAATTTTAAGCCAATATAGCTGAACTGGAAAAATTCTCTAAGTCACCTATGCTTCCATATTGGCTTTGGCCTTAAATTTGAATTTTTTTTTAATTTTTGACAATTCTCCCTTTAGGTGATAACCCAGAGAATTATTGAAGAGAGATAGCCATACTAGCAAGAGAGAGGTTCAGACAGGTATACTTTACTAGGTCCAGATTCTGCTGAAAAACAGAGAAAATTGAGCCCACCAGACTAGATTCCTATCATCCTTAGCCATCATCGCATGGGCTAAGAATGATGAGGATAGAAGTCTGTGGGCGTCAGAATTTTCTGGTCTGCAATTGAGCTGTAGGAGAATGACTTGCAGTTTTGAGGTTTTGCTGATTTCCTGCAGAGAGTATTACAGGAGGTTAATGATCAAACTGCAGGCAGCAAGACTAAAGTGTTACACATCAAAGGCTGCACATAGCACAGCCAGACCTGGGTGTTCATTAAACAGACAGACATTCCAGCACTCCAAATCCACATGTCCTGAGATGGATTATTCTTTATCTGTGCTGAGGAGAGACTCGCTAACTCATAAATATGGCTAATCCAAAAAAACAGTGCGGAGCTATATTGACTTGTTGCGTAGATGGCGGGGCTTATCGACTAAACAAAGAAATGTCAGTAAATGACCAGGAAATTGTACATTTTAGTCCTAAATAACTGCACTGAAAAAACTGTTGATTTTGACCAAAAATTTACAATTTCAAAAAATGCTTGAAATAAAATAATTATTCTTTTCTATTCATGTTAGATTGGTCTGTCTTTTTTTGAACCAAAATAAACACTGAAATCTGGCACTCCCAGATGGAGATATATGAAATGGTGACAGTATGCAATTATTTACATGTATTTTATACATTTTGCTGGACAGGTTCTTAGTAAATGCATCCATTTTAATAATTTGATTACACTTGTTTTCTTTCCCTAATATGATTTGAGCTGTAGGCCACTGGCACAAAGATAAAAACTACAAAAGACTTAAAAAATGGTTTTCCAAAGCAAGTCACCATGGGATCCTGAATTCGTCATTGTTGATCATGGAGAGTTCACATTAAAGGGACTCTCCAGTGCCAGGAAAACATATCTGTTTTCCTGGCACTGCAGTACCCCTCTCCCTCCTAACCCCCCATCCCATGTTGCTGAAGGGGTTAAAACCCCCTCAGTGACTTACCTGAATCCAGCGCCGATGTCCCTTGGCACTGGGTCAGGCTCCGCCCAAACTCCTCCCCTGCCAACGTCAGCCGGCAGGGGAGACCTAATGCGCATGCGCACATTAGACCTTGCCATAGGAAAGCATTATTCAGTGCTTTCCTATGGGGATTCCAGTGACGCTGGAGGTCCTCATGCATAGCGTCAGGACGTCCAACATCATTTAAAACACTTTTTGTGTTCTAAAAACCCAGAATTCCTTCTAGTGGCTGTCTGATAAAAACTGCAATAATTACACTTGTGGGATTTGGCACCCAGACCACTCCAATGGGCAGAAGTGGTCCCTTTAAGCTGTCTTGTCTATCTTCTGGGTTCACCTGCCACGTCAAGGTAAACCTCTTAGGTGAGACCAACAACAATTTACCTTGCTTCTCCAGCTTCAAGTAAAAAATCTCTAATGAGACATAGAGGAGTATTTTTCAAAACCCCTACATACTTATTAACCTTTAAAGGACCACTATAGTGCCAGGAAAACATACTCGTTTTCCTGGCACTATAGTGCCCTGAGGGTGCCCCCACCGTCAGGGACCCCCTCCTGCCTGGCTCTGGAAAGGGGTTTAAACTTACCTTTTTCCAGCGCTGGGCGGAGAGCTCTCCTCCTTCTCTCCTCCTCCGATCCGCCCCGTCGGCTGAATGCGCACGCGCGGCAAGAGCTGCGCGCTCATTCAGCCGGTCGCATAGGAAAGCATTTACAATGCTTTCCTATGGACGCTGGCGTGCTCTCACTGTGAAAATCACAGTGAGAAGCACGCAAGCGCTTCTAGTGGCTGTCAATGAGACAGCCACTAGAGGGAATAGGGGGAAGGCTTAACCCATTAATAAACATAGCAGTTTCTCTGAAACTGCTATGTTTATTAAAAAATGGGTTAACCCTAGCTGGACCTGGCACCCAGACCACTTCATTAAGCTGAATTGATCTGGGTGCCTAGAGTGGTCCTTTAACAGGGAACACATGGGGTGGGTGACAGCATTGTAACATGGCGGTGTAATACAAAAGCAAATACAAGTATTGAAAAATAAGTCCTGCGCTCAAACTCCCACTTCTCTTGGGCGGCAACAATGACTATAGTACACATATCAGCCCAATACAGACAATAAAAAACAATGAAAAGAGTTACTTGCACACTATCGCAAATCCCTATGCACATTTAAATAACTGGATGTTTTTAGTATCACTCCAGGGGCCATTAAGTGTAAGCCCACCTGCCACGCCAAGGCAAATCTCTTAGGTAAGTCCTACACTAAGGTAAAATAAGGTGGATGTTCTGGGATAAAAGGCGCTTATAATAGAATAAAATACAATACAATAAAAGTGATAGCAGCTTCCACACAAAAGTAGGAACTCTCCAACCTACTAAAAATCCAATGTGTTAAAGAACGCTATTGTGCAAACAAATGCCAAATAGTGAAGAGTGTGTAGCGCTTAAATAAATAAACACTTACTCCTGGAGTTCTCAGGAGATATATAAGAAACAGGTGGGAAAATCCTAAAAATAAAATACAGAAAATATAGTGCAATATGATCTGTATAGTAGTGAGAGGAATATCTTGTTACTTGATTCACTCACATAGTCTAGAGCCTCTTAAGGACCGGCTCTGATCGCATCCGCTTTTGTGTCCTTAAGGTGACACACACCCTAGACGTCCATATTAGGCGAAAAACTCAAAGATGGAGACAAAAAGATGGAGAAAACAGGGAAGCAATGCTAACCCTGGTGCAGAAATCCTTAATGAGATAAAGTGCAAAGTATAAATAAGAATTGGCTTCTCACCTTTTCAGGGTAACTGGGCTCCAAGTATGTAGATATTGTGTCAAATAAGAGTGACACAGCCCTTCTTTAAGCAGCATAGATGTATCTACAAAAATTAGATGTGGAAATTAACGAAATTAAAAACTTTCTCGTTGAACATTTATCACCCGACCAGTACTCCGAGACATTAAATGAAATTCAGATTAATTTAGAGAGACTGGAAAGGAATGTAATAGAGACAAAAAAAGGAAGTATTTAAGAGATAAGGACGACCATGCGAGGGATCAAGTTAGGTCATATACCAAGGGAAATGAGAGACCCACAAATAACACCTGGCGTAATACACAAAATTATAATAATAAAGCCAACCAAGTAAACCATTATATAAGAACAAATCGACCATCAACATATAATTCCCCACGCAATACAAAACCTAGAAATCAATCAAGAGCTAGGTCACCACAAAGAACATTTCATAGACCAAGATTACCAGTAAACATTAGGAATGACTGGGAAACTGTAGTAAGGAGAAAAAAAA